TACAAGATTTATATGTTTACATACAATTGGAGTTACCACATTTTCTGTCATATTTTCAACTAATTACTTTTGTACTAACCACAAAACATCTTAACTTAGTATCAATGTTTATTAGTGGTATTTACTTATTATATTTATAAGACATATTTCAGCCATAAAAGAAATGGTAAGTTACTCTTAATTATTAATTACTATTTTCTATTTGCTTTGTGTTATTTCTACACATTAAAATTGTTTATTTTTATACATGCGCATACGTGCATGTTTAAAAGTTTGTTTCTTCTAAAGTAAGTGTAAATTATATTTGAATGTGTTTACATATTTGTTTATGGTCACACCACGCGCATCCCTCGCCACCCTCACGAGATCTCAAAGAATGTTGGAGCTGTATTAAAAACTGGGATAGGGATTAGGTTTTTTGACTTTTGTAATATAGTCCTATTATATTGCAATATTGACTAGCATGGCGTAAAGTGCAGGCAGTGAGATCTGTTGCAAAGACACGCCCCTGACGAGTGGCATTAGTGCAGGACTCGGGCTCTCCGAAACGTCATTGGTAATCGCAGTGCATTCCTGTGGAGGGGGATAACCATTTATCCACCACTTAATTCTAATTGGTTATTATGGTTAGGGATGTACCGAAGCTTCGGCTTCGGCTTTGGCATGCCGAAGCTTCGACAATTTTGCCGAAGCTTCGGTTCGGCCGAAGCCAGGTCAAATTTTTGCCGAATCTTTGGCTTTGGCAAAAAATTTTAAGTAATTAAAGTTATAAGCTACTGTTGTACAAGTTATAAAAATATGCTAATTGCCAGTGTCTAATTAAGTTGTAAATTCAGGACTACAGAGTTAAAGTTGGAGTCTATACCATATACTTAGTATTATTTACTCCCAAATGTCTTGTTATGGAGAGGATGATAATAAATAAGTAGAAATATTTTGAATATAATAGTAAAATTAAGGAAGGTCTTTATACACTTTGAAGGCTTCCAAGTGTAACTTAGATGAACTGAATTAGCATTTTTATGCAGAATAAAAACCTTATAATTTAAAACAAATTAAAACTTTTTAAAATAAAATGGAAAAAAAAACCTTATTTTGTATTATGTAACGAGTTTATATTAATTTTTGTGTGGGATTACCGCAAATAGAACAAAAGTTGGTTTCAACATTTAACCTATAAACCTTAGTAATCTCACTTTAAAGAAGATTAAAAATACGTTGCTACAATTTTAAATTCTGCGTATGTTAAATTTTATTTAACCATAATAATAAAAATTTACAAATTTTCATCGTAAGATTACAGAAATTGGTAAGGTGTCACTTATATAGTTACAAACTAGTCAATGGAGTGACACATAAAAAACATAAAGTTCTCAACAACAAAAAAGGAAGAAATGCAAATGAAATATAAATGAGGAGAATAAAAAAAGAAAAAAAAAGTCAACCAAAACTATATAAATTAAAAGAAAAAGAAAAACAATGATAATAATTATCCTTGCTCTTTTATTAATATTATGAATACTTCTAAATTGAATTTATATATTAAACATATAAACTTATATTCTGGTTTCTTCTTATGATATGAAGACTTTTAAATTTTATTTAAAATAAATTAAAGGTTAAAGCTTTGATTACTTTGAGCTCTTATATTTATCATCAAAATTTATTTAAATTAAATAAACAATTAAAATCAAATAAATATCAGCCTGCTCAGTCCCTGTTTATTTATAAATATAAAGTAAATAATAATATAATTATAAATAAAGTATTTATAAAGTATTCTATTTATTATTTTATTTAAAGCTCACTCTACTGAGTTGTTAGATTACTATAGAAGTTTTTGTCACAGATAGTTTGATTTCAGATACTGATGCAGATTTATCCATTACAGAGACAGAAGAAGAATGAATACTATAATTTCAGAGTGTAAAAGATTAAAAGAAGCTTAAGAAAATGTTATGTAGTGTAAAATTAAAAATAATAAAAAAAAACAACAACAACTTAAAAGTGTGTAAAAAAGAAGTTAGAGAGAAATTTATCAATTGTACTTTTTTTTAGCAGCAGGTTCACAACAGCTGTAGTGGAATACAAAATGGTCTTAACTTAGGGTTTTTTTTAGTTTAGAAATTGTTCGTTTAATGAATACAGAGAAGTAAAAAAAAGATCTTGAAATAAATAGCAATAAAAAGATAAAGTGTGTTTGTAAGATTTTTTATGTTGTAGATACAACTAGATCAGCTAAGAGTGTTAAATTAGAGAAAGAGTGTTCAAGTGTAAAAGATAAATTTACTTGAGTAATATTCAGAGACTTTTATCCACTCTTAACAAAAGGTGCATTAAAAATAAAAATAAAATATACAGCACATGAAAAGATGCGTAACAGTAATTTATGGGGAATAAAATTTGAGGATGTTGAGCTAGCACACTATAATTAGATAGAGCAAACAAGATGATTAAATAGAGGATTAAAAATTAGATGATTAGATAGAGGATTAAAGAGAAACGATGTTTACATAGAAGAACAGTATGGCTATAAAAGATAAAAAAAATAGCAATAATCTTTAAAGAATATTGGGAATAGTTGGAACTATATGTGAGTTACTGATATTGTGCTCTATATAACATTAATATGGTTTGCACACAGAAAAAGTAGAATTAGAAGTAGGAAAATTTGGGGAAAATGTTTCAAAAAAGCTTAAGTTTTAAAAAAAAACACTAGGTGCGGTGAAGTATCAGAAACGACATAATGAGAAACTTTCAAACAGGGGCGCTGAGAGCTTTTGCCCTGCCTGGGGCAGCAACCCTGACTTGTGTCCTCATTTTTATACATTTTTTCTATATTATTAGTCAAGGATCTTAGTTTTGGAACCTTTTTTGTTTTACACTCCTGCTGATCTGAATGCTGATTAAATTTTAAGCATATATAGTGCCGAAGCTTCGGCTTCGGCAAAGTGGCTTCGGCCGAAGCTTCGGCTTCGGCAAAATTTTAGCTTCGGTACATCCCTAATTATGGTACCAACATTTTTTTGCCTCATACACCTATGAATTTTTGAGCTTTGTGAGCTTTTAATTATGAATTTGTTACATTAACGACATTTATATATTTTATGTTACTCAGGTGATTATCAGTTCTCAATTTATTATCTAGAGTTTAGAACATATATAGTACCACATTAGTCATTTTTTTATATTGATCCACTTATCATTTATAATCATTTTACTTACTATTTTGTTATCTACTTATTTTATTGTTTTTGTATGGTGCGAATATTTTAGTAATGGATAGTTTGAATATATTAACCAGAGGATAGTCTTAGTAATAATAGTCTTTACATTAATTTGTGTTTTTTTTAACCTAAATGATATCATCTACAATCTGTTTTTATTTTCTCCCACGTCTATGTAACTGGACGGCTCCGTCAGTCACTTTTTGCGATCTTTGTGTCACATAAACAAATGAAAATGTTTATATATACTATGATATTTATATCTATTATATACTTAAGAAATTTGCAAATGCAGTACTATGATATTTATATCTATTATATACTTATAAAAATCTATTGAAACCGTTCTAACTTATCGAAGTCGAAGCTTCATAGCATCTTTTTTATATTTTTGCTATAATATTTTGATTCCAATAAAGTAAATTTGAAACTTTCGTTACACCTCCAATACACCTCCAATACATCTCCAATACACCTCCTAATTTACATAAAAAGTTACAATAAGTTAAATAGTCTTAGAATATAAAATAAAATATAAAATATATTTTTCGAGAGTTCAATCTGCTTCATTCACAAAAATTACGAAACTATAAAAACTAAAAAATTACGAAACTATATAAACTAAAAAATTACGAAACTAAATAAACTAGCAATTTATAAACTTACTGCAACAACCCTTATATCTATGATGTAAATGTGATTTAAGGTCCTGTAAATGAAAATGATCTTTTAACAACTTATTATCTTAAATATTTTTTATTTAACAGACCATTTTATTTAAAAAATACAATAATAAGAAACAATTACAATTTAACTTTAAGAACATAAGTTAATCGGTTCAATACAATTTTCCCCTGAATTAATCATTGCAAACCAATGTTTATGTATGTCTTTTTTTTATATCTATATAAATGCATTTTTATATTTATATAGTATTGATTATATACTTTCGTATACTATATTTATATACTATATTTGTTTTTTTACACCTAATTTATAATTTTCACTCCTATTTGTATACTTCTATTGTTTTTATATCTATATACATGCATTTTTATATCTATATACTATTGTTTATATACTTCTATATACTATATTTATATACTATATTTGTATACTTCTATTGTTTTTTTACACCTAATTTATAATTTTCACTATAAATATACATAACAAACTCTGTCATAAAACAATAAAATTTATCACAGTAATAAATGTGGAACAAAATGAAAGTAATTTTTTAAATATACTATTTATAACATTATTACTTTTAAATGTACTATTTATAACATTATTACTTTTAAATGTACTATTTATAACATTATTATTTTTAAATGTACTATTTATAACAGTATTTTACATGCTAACATTAAATTTTAATATAAGCATTATTTCATAAATTTTCTTATTTTCTTTTCTTTTAAATACAATTTGAGTTAATGTGACGATTGATCAGATTTTGAGGCTTTCTATAAAACAATTGTTTACACTTTAAAATTAAAATGTTTAAAAATTAACACACAGCAGAAAACATTTTTAAAATTGTATAATAAACATTTTTACTTACCCATAAACACTATTTTTTATTGAATTTGTAACAGAATCAAACTTTTTTTTTTCCTTCAAAAATCTGTTAAAATTTAAATGAAAAAAATAAATATATATCATTAACTAATTTATATATATATATATATATATAATATATATATATATATATATATATATATATATATATACATACATATATATATATTTATTTATTTATTTATTTACTAGAACAACCAAAATTATCTTGGAGTTCAATTGTTAAAAAGACGCCTAATGAAAGTTTAGAAATAGAAAAATCAACAAGAGCTCCAACAGGGCTAAGAGCTCCAGTGGCAGAGGAAATAACTGGAACACAGCAGAATTTTAAAAAGAAAAAAAATTATACTAATATTAAAAATAACATTACATTTGAACTCGGTCAACTAAAGTCTGAGCATGAATCAGTTTTTTGTTCTCAGAATGAAAGAAAAAATATTTCACAAAAGGACAATGGTTTGGATGAAAACATACCTCATAGACAAAACTTAGAGAACATTGTTTCTCAAAGTCAAACCTTACTGACAGAAAAAAATACAAGTTCAACTTCTTTGCTTAAAAAGACAAATAAAAAAAAATCTTCTAATCTAAGGGTATCTTTTGAAAGTAGTTTGTATAAAAACGAAGGCAAATTTACAGACAAATTTGTTGCTAAAAATAGATCTTCAAAAAAGTTAATAGACTTTCAAGCAATCCAAACTTCAAATCCTGAATCAGAAGAAAAAGTTTGGTTAAAAGAAATGTCACACAGTGCTACTGCTGATGCTTCATTTCCTCCCACACTGACATCTAATGTAGCAGCCCCTTTATCTTACAGTTCAATTGTGAAGAAAATAGTAAGTTTTCAAAAATTAACATTTTTCTTTCGAATCCCATGTTGGCCTATTTTAAAAAAAATTTGTGTGTAATATTTTATGGGAACTTGTTAACATTAAAAATTTTTTATAAAGCTGTAACTTTGCCCAGCAATTCCCTAAGGTGTATAGATCACGTAAAAAAATGCCCCACGATTCCCAATAGGAGAACCCCCTTTTTCAGGTCCAGTTTCTAAATGACGAATGCCCAAAATGGTCAAAAAAATATTTTTTTGAAAATTGACTTATTATATACCATTTTAAAATATTTTTTATGCTGAGCAACTTTTTGAAAGACACTAAGATGTTAAAATGAAAGGGCGATTAGTTATTTAACAAATAAATGCTATAAATAATACATTGAGCAAATTTTTTTTTGAAAGTTTTAATAAAAACCTTCATTAAAATGTTTTTTTTTAAAAATTATATTTCTGGATTTAGAAATCAGGGAAACATAATGTTCCTATCGTCATTTTCATAATTTTCCATTTCGTTTTCTTCAATTTCATTGTCCTACAGGAAATAGATAAGCAAATATACGACTGATATTTTGTAGAAATATTTATATGTAATAATACAGATAAATGATGAGAGAACTCGTCTTTTTTCTAAATTTCATTGTTAAAATTTACCTTGCTATTCATACATTCTGTTCCATGACATTCCCCCCAAAATTGCAAGCACCGTATTCTGTATTTTCTGCACGTACATGCTTTGCCACCACATGGGTTTTTTGTTATTGTTTTAATGATTAACAAAAAAGGAAATTGTTGTAGTTAAAAATAAAAAATATCTAAGTTTAAATTATATAGATAAAGTTTAGTAAGATCTTTTCAAGGAGTTTGAAAAAATACATTAATTTTAAAACAAACCTTGCAATTACATCTAATGACCTTTGTTAGCGCTTCTGGCGCAATGTCTTTATCGTTCATTATAGGTGTGATTACTCTGTCGTGTTGCATCCAGCCCCATTCAGTTGCATCAGTAGGTGGAAGTTTCTCTGGCGATATTTTACCCTTGCATGCTAAATCGATGTATTTATTATACCGAAAATTAAAAATAAAATTAAATAAGATTATTATTTTTATACAATTAGGATTTCTATACTAGATAGAAAATAATTACCTTAATTTTGCAAGTGTGCTTCCCTTTGTTCCTCCATATAACAAAATAAAACCTTCAATCGAGGCGTTTCCAACTTCTTCTTGATTACTCCATGGACTTGTCATTACTTTTGTAATGACAAGTCCATGGAGTAATCAAGTAATCATCTGTGTTTGGAAAAAGTAAAACAAACTAGTTTTGTTTTACTTTTTCCAAACACAGATGAAACAATGTCACACCCCAACCATGCATGGACAAAGAGCAGGTGTTGTTTTATGGTTTTGTTTTTTAAACAAGCATTCTTGATACTCCAAGCTTTATCCCATATATCTTGCAAAAAGTAAATGTCGTAAATGACATGTTGCTTTTCCAATGATGAATAAGCATCACTGCGATATCTATGTCATCCACCACAACAGTTACATGCTGCAAGCTTGTGTTTGTGATATCAAGAGCGGTTTTAACAACGGTGCTATCAGCATTATCAGGGCAGTTTACAGTCAAATACCCCAATTGATTTAAATGATGTGAAAGAAAGTTTATGAAATTGGCTTTGTTTTCAATACTACTAAGAAAACGATCCTAAGTAAACGGCACAGGTTTATCTTGGTTAATTACTACATTGGAGCTTTGTGGAATAGAAATTCTGCGAAGATGCTTGTGACTCTTTGTGCCTTCATCTTGGTAGCCATCAAAATTAACCGTGATGAATCCCTAGTAATTTTTTAAAATAAAACTTGAATAAACATCTGGTACAGCATTAAATTTCATTCCTTTTAACCATCTAACTCTATGTAGCAATGCACCGCCATCTAAAACATTCTGGCTTGGAGACTTGATATCTTCATATTTAACAGCATCTTCGTCGCACATTATTACTTTGTGAAGGGATTTTTAACTGGCTTTCTCATCATGTCTTGTTTAAAATATGACATAGGCTCATAAGTTAATTCGTATTTAAATATAGATTCTAAATCATCTTTACGTGCTGGGACAGTTATTAGCAGGTTAAACATTATGCTTGATTTTTTCTTTTAATTTTTGCGCCTTCAAAAAATATGTTATCCAACCCATTCTGAATACTTTTATAAACTTCTTCAGCAAGCTCACAGTTTACACCATCTTTATAAGTAAATGATACCATATCAGTCGAAAGTGAGTGGAGGTTTTTGTCAGGAATACAGAATGGTCTTCGATCAACTAACCATTCATAAAACTTTTTACAATCTTCGTAATCTTGCTTTGTTCTCAACTTTCCGATTTCTTCATGTTGCTCACTGGAGTTTGCCGATACACCTGTTAGTTGAATCATAGCACCGTGTATTGAAGTTATCTGTGAAAGGCTTAATGCCCACACATGAAGGACAGATTCTGACATTCCACATCCACCAGTCAATTTGCATATTTTATACACACAACTATGGCACATCAGAAAAAAACACGAATGACTCTATTAAAAGTTTAAGATTGAAAATTTCTAAAAAATCAATTAAAATGCAATATCTTCTTAAAATCAACTTTCAATTTTTTCAAACATGCTGTTATTTTGATAGGCTAGGTTTTCATTTTTTATTACTTATTAATAATTTATTATTATTTGAATGTATAGCATTTATTTGTTAAATAACTAGTCAACCGTTCATTTTAAGACCTTAGTGTCAATTAAAAAGTTGTTCTGCATAAAAAATGCTTTAAAGTGGTATATCATAAGTCTATATTTGAACACAGTTTTTTTTTTTACTTTTTAGTGCATGCGTCATTTTATAATAGGGCCCAAAAAAGGGGGTTCTCCTGTTGGGAATAACGGGGCATTTTTTTTATGTGATCAATGTACTTTAGGGACTCACTAGGCAAAGTTTCAGCTTTATAAATTTTTTTTTCCACATTTTTGTCAATTTTGAAATTAACAACACGTTTAGTATGTTGGTGCCAACAAAAAATACAATAAATAAGCATGTTTGTATATATATTTATATATAAATTTTGGTTGTTGCTAAAAATTATTGAGTTAACTTCTATTGCTACAGCCTGTTTTACCCATTACGCCTATAAAAATCTGCGCAGACGATGAAAAACCAACTTCGACACAGTTGTCCCCAGAAGAGCGTAAAAAAAGGCTTAAAGAGAAAAAGTTGAAGCGAAAGCTAAAGGTAAAAGAAAAGAAAGCTAGGCTGGCTAAAGAAAATCCTAAAGTGATTGAAGCTTCAAAAAAAACTTCAAAAAAAGAAGTTATGCTTGACTTTGGCTGTTTGTTGGACCAATTAAATGTGAGTAGTATGTTTTTTATTTGACATTAATTGCACTATAAGTATATCCTATGTCATAAGCATGTCATAAGCATGTCATAAGCATGTCATAAGCATGTCATAAGCATGTCATAAGCAGATTAGATAAAGTCTTTAGATTAAATATGTAACCAGGTTAATGGGGAATGTTGCTTACCTGCATTTCAAACTTTTAACATTTTCAAAATTCTTTAAAAAAAGTTTTACATGATAGATGAAGAAAAAATGTTTAAATATTTTTTAATACTTGTTTTTATCAATCAAAAAAAAAAACATAAAATAATTATTGAATAAATTTCAGACAGGAAAATTGTATTGACATTCAAATATAATAAAAGCAGGTGGTTGTGTGCTGTATTTACACATAATACAAGCATATTAAGCAGTATTGAGGCGTGCGTGATTTTTAATTTTGCATGAATCACTCATTTTTAATTTTTTGAAACTAACAAGTTTAGTTTCAAAAAGATTCTAAGTAACCACTCTATAATTTGGAACTTTCTTAATAGCAAAGAGAGTTAAAGAACATGAAAAAAGTTAATTGCAGATATTTAAGTCTGAATGACTTATATTACTGCATTTGTATGAGTCAGTAAAATATGCATTTGTATGAGTCTGTAAAATACGAATATAATTTGTTGGATATATTAATTTGTTAGATATATTAATTTGTTAGATATATTAATTTGTTAGATATATTAATATAATATAAATAATACTTGGGTTGGTTTTGATAAAGATATTAAGAATCTATCATTAGTTCTACAAAATAATAAATTTCCACAAAATATTATTGACTCAAAATATTATTGAAATTAAATCCTTTATTGATAAGAAAATAAACCCATCTGTTTCTAACATTGTTAATAGCTTAAATATAAGATACTTTAAGCTTCCATATATTGGAATGTACTCTAATTATACTAAAATGAAAATTTCAAAAATTGTTCATAAATATTGCAAGGATGTTCTTATAAAATTAATTTTCACTACTAATAAAATACAAGATTGTTTTTGCTTAAAAGATTCACTTCCTAAATTGCTTAAATCTCATGTTGTCTATAAATTTTCTTGCGCTAGCTGTAATGCTAGTTATATTGGAGAAACCTCCAGACATTTGGCTACTAGAATAAATGAGCACCTTAAAAGTGATAAACAATCTCATATATTTAAACACTTAAATTTATCTGTTAATTGCAAAAATCTGGCTGACTGTGATTCTTTTGAGATTTTGAATAATGCCCCAACCAAACACAAATTAAAGATAAAAGAAGCCCTCTACATAAAATGTGAAAGTCCCTCAATTAATAAACAAACTTCACAATATGTTATAAACTTATCTATTTAATTTTATTATTATTATTTTTTGACAGTTAGTTATTTTGATTGGTTATTTACCGAGTTATTTTGTAATAAATATATTGGTTCATTATGTTAATTTTTGTCCGTTATAGTTTCTCTGTAAAGACTTATTTTTTAATATTTATTTTAGAGTTTTATTATTGTAAAATAATCTTTTGAAAATGTAAATAAATTTTACGAAACATGTCAAGAATAAAAAACATTGTGTTATTTTAAAAAATAATTACTTAATTTATGCTAATACGACGATCACAATATATATATATATATATATATATATATATATATATATATATATATATATATATATATATATATATATATATATATATATATAAATATATATATATATATATATATATATATATATATATATATATATATATATATATATATATATATATATATATATATATATATATATATATATATATATATATATATATATATATATATATATATATATATATATATATATATATATATATATATATATATGGGCATTTCCGCAACAATTTTATATTTGCCTATTTAAACTGTAAAATAAACTTTTAACTATTTTATATGAAAGCTGTTAGTCTAAAGAAAAAAATAAGCTAAAAAGTTTTAAGTCTGGCCAAAGAGGACGAACTTATTACTGAAAATGCTGCTTAACTTACATTATACAAAAAACAAGGTAAAAAAATTGCTTTAACTTTTAAGTCAGATTTCTGCAAATCAGTTTTTTATTAGAAACTTTCACAAGATGTTGAGAATTCTATACCAATTTAAAAAATATATATAAATTTATCAGAGGTGACTGGCTAAGGAAGATTCACTGTTTTTTTTGATACTCTATGTTTAACTTACATTACATCACTTACGTTACCAAGCAATTATTATCATGGATTTTTTATATCTATTATTAAGAGTTAGAGTTACGTAATAAACAAATTGCAAAAGTATTGAACTCATTCATTAAAAATAGTTAACAAAGGAAATTTTTAAAAACTAGTGGCACTCTTCCTGAGTGATTTTTTAAGCGTTTATGAAAGTTATCAAATTAAAAAACGGTTTTTCCGCAAGACCAAGAGCAACTTTAAAAAATTATTTTAGTATTACAACTTTATTAATACTTATTTGAGTATAATCTTTGGTTTTTCAACGTTTTTGCTTACTCTTTTTACGTTTATGTGTATTACCTTATTTTCATAAGTTTGAATTTTTGAAATGCTGCAAAGTATTTGCATTTAAATCTTTTGAATTATTTGTGACAAAAAAACAGTGATCACAGTTTAGGAGGGAGAGGACTTCAGGTGTTTGTGATTGTTTGTGACAGGAGGAAAAGGGTATGGATGGCCCCCTTTAATTACATTTACAAACATTTTGTTATACTAAAACAAATACAAAAAAGGTTCTAACTGATTTTTTTTTAATGTCTAAATAAAAACATTTATATAATTCTTTTTATTTATTTATTTATGTATATTTATATGTCAACCAAAGTAATAATACATAAACAAATAAAAAAACAATAATTTAAGTAATTTTAATTAGCACTAAAAAATAAAATATTTTTTTTCTAAATTCTCATAATATAAAAAGTTTCAGTTAGAACCTTGTCAAACCAACGCGAATTACTTAATGACATAATTCATTTTGTAAACGAAAAAGTGCCAGAACTTTAGTAAATGCGTGTAGTTTTAACATAGTTACACAAATTTAAAATAAAAATGTGCTTTAACTAGGCATTGTTATTCAAAAATTTAAATGTAAAAATATAACATTTAATATTCTTTCGCATATCTTATTAAAAGACTTAAATTTTTACACTTAATTTTTGAAAAGACAAAACTTTATCATGTTTTCATTAACGTACGTTACATGAAAATTGCAAAAGTTGTTTTGTTATTTTGCTGAAATATATTTGATAAAGTATAAAAATCTGACTAATAACAATTTGAATATGCTCTATTTTCACGATAAATTAATTTTTATTAAATGTTAAAACAATCACGATTATTTTAACGTTTAATAAAGTATTTTAAAAACCGCACGCAATTGATGTAAAAGTTTGAATTACAAAAAAATTTAATATGCTCATTATTTACAAGTAGAAAAAATTCAGATTAAAAAAAAAGTTTAAATTTTTTTAAGCTAACATTTCAATAAAATTATTCAGCAATAGCAAAGTTGTTGATAAAATTGAACAAAAATACTTTCTTTTAGTTTTAGATTTTTAATTTAAATAATTATTTTACGGGGGTTTGTTAGGTTTTAAAATTATTGCATAGATTTAAAAATATTTATTAATTGTTAGATGTATTTAAAGTATTTAAGAGTAATTTCAAGGAAACATTTTAAAAATTGGTAAGCGCAATTAAAAAAAAAAAAAAGGATTAATATTAAAACGTATTCTACTTGATTCAATAAAAAAGTACAGCTATTAAAATTTTTGTAAAAAGTAACTTGAAAAAAATTACTTAAATAATAACAATCGCTTTTTTGTTAACCAAAACATGCTTACCAAACATTTGTTTATTTTCTAGACGTTTCACACGTTTTGTCTATACTAAACGAATAAAAAACATTATAACTAAACATTTAAAAAAAATTATAAAATATGCTAATATTTGATTTTTTTTTCTCGAATATGTAGTTTAAAGTTTTTTAAATAATTATTTTTTCTTTTTAAAAAGTCAGCGAGTAATAAACTGGAAATTTTAATATTGTACGATTAAAAACTGTGCAATAGCTAATATTTTTACTAGCAATTTTATATAATATTTATTTATTTTTATTTATTTTCACAAAGCGGTTAATAAGAACAATCACTCGTATTACTAAAAAACTTTAACAAATGTTTTCAATAGATTTTTAATGTTGACAAGGAATTTTATTTTTAGTACAATAAAATAAAATGTTTGAATAAAAATCTTATAGGTATAAAAGACATTTCAGCGAAAAAATTATTCTTAAAAATTATTCGAAAAACTATTGACATTCTATTTTTCAGTAGATGTTCTTGAGCATGTTTCGGTAAGTTTTAACAAAAAAGCGATTGTTATTATTTAAGTCATAATTATATTTTATCACAAGTGTAGGACTAAAAGGTAAAAAAAAATATTTTCAAATAGAAAACAAGTATTATATTAATCATTTATAAATTATTAAAAATAACATCTAAATTATATTATAATTTATACTCTAAAACACTTTGAAAATGACCATTAATAATCATCATCAGAGTCACAGTTATGGCAAATGTAGCTGGACCCTCCTGCTGTACATTCTTCATGTGCCCAGCTTGAGCACACACAGCATTTGATCCATTTTTCAGCATCTCTGCTATTAGCCCAAGTATCCATGCAAATAATACAGTAGGTTTCATCTTCTGATGATGATGATGAGCCTTGTGTATGCTTTTTTGTTGCTTTGCCTTTTCCATTTCCCTTAGCAGAACTTTTGCATTTTTTTGGCAGTGGCTGTGCTGATCTCATAGAATTTTTGAAAGGGGAATCAGTCAATATAGACGAAATTCTCTTTTTGCATGTGTTTTTGGAAGGCTTTCTTTCTAGTGCCTTTGGTAATGGCCTTACTTTATCTCAAGATGCAAGCTCAAAGCATTCAGAAATTGATTTGGCTTGAGATGTTGAAGGCTCCTGTGATGACCTCTGAAGCTTCAGAGGTTACAGTCTGGTGAGACTGTAATCTCTGAAGCTTGAGGCATTGTTAATTGAGGATTGGTTTTGACTGGCATAGGCATTTCTGTTACTGAACTTGGAGCAAAGTCCAAATCTGTAAATATTTAAGGGTTAAATGGATGGATGCCACAGGAAGAAAATCCGCTCAGTATGTTATTTGGTATCATGCTCAATGGAAAGGCAACCTTCACTATCTCTGGAATATTGTAAATTGTCATACCAATTCCAGGGTTACTGACCATCCAACTGTTGATGGCTGTATTTACAGTCTTTTTAAAAGGGCCATAGACTGTTCTATCTAGTGGCTGCAACCTGTGGGTGCAATGGGGTGGAAAACTTAACATAATAATTCCATTTGCTGTCGCATAGTCAAGTGCATTCAATGACAAGTGTGAAAAGTGATTGTCAACCAGTAGCAAAACTGGATGCTCTTTTGAAGGCCGTGCATTCTTTAGAAAATGAGTAAGAAATTTACAAAAAGTGTCTTCCTTCATCCAACCAGATGGATTTGTGTCCCCATCACTGCCAGGTGGTGCAGACGTTAAAAAGTGGTCCCTAAAATTGACTCTCGGAAATACGAAAAAAGGTGGAATACTGTTACCAATAGCAGAGGCAGCACATGCCAAGGTAACTAAAGCACCTCTTTCTGTTGAGGTTATTTCCCCAACTTGCTTTTGGCCCTTTCTTGAGATCACTTTATCAGGCTTTTGAACTGTAGTTACCCCTGTTTCGTCCTTGTTCCAAATATCTGCTGGTGTGAATTGGTGACGTTGAAGACACACCTGAAGATTATTGAAAAACATTTCAACATTTTGTTTGTTGAAACTTATGGCACGTGCAATGCTTGTGGCCTCTGGAGCTCTTAAAGACAATGTTGGATTTCTTAAAGACAATGTTGGAATCTCTCCCAGCACAATGATTTTCCATCCATGATTTTGGCATAGCCAATTTATTAGCATCTGCTAATTGATATGCTAGTTCCCTAACATCTTTTGGTGTAAGGCCAAAGTAAATATCTGAAGCTCTTTGCAAGTAGCTACAGAGATGAAGCTCCTGTGTCAACACTTGCCTGAAATAATATAAAATATATACCAGTATAAATACTTATTTTATGGAGTGACTTATAATAACAAATATTATAATCCTTAAACATATTAACAATCTACAAACCTAGGTTGTACGTAGCCAGTGTGAAATGAAGGTATTGTCGATTTTTCTTGAAGATCTTCTGTAGAGGCTTTTGACAAATAGCGTTGTAGGCTTCTATAGTTGATGTTGAAATCTAGAGACACCTGGGCTTCTGCCATGTAACTTTACAGCTTTCACTGCTTCAAGGATTGTGCATTTAGCAGTGGTACCTCTACTGATTTTCTTTGATAATTGCGAACCATGATTTAAAATCTGATAAAGCAAAACAAAACAAAAAAATGTTAGGATAAAAGTCCAAGTAAGCAAAACCTTATAACTGTCTAATGTCTATAACTATCACTATCATTTATTAATGTTTACTAAGGCTTATTATTAATCTTAAATATTATGCCTAATTCATTTTATTGATGTTTATTACTTATAATAAGCATCGTATGTATTATTAACATTCATTTAAGACTTTTACAACTATATGAAAGTATGGAGGCAATTTTTTTTATATGACAACTGGCCCCCTTTAAAATAGGACAACTTGCCCCACAGGGTGTAGAGGAAGGTTTGACCTAAATAACTTTTTATCCTTGCCGTGAATCTGAAAAATGACTAGCACACCAATAAAAAAATTTCCAAAACTATAAACATTTTAATGTATTAAACACAAATATTACATATTGTTACTGTATTGAACATTTGAACAAAAAAGTTAAAAAGTTACTTACCAATGAAATTTTTACTTTTTTTGGATTTGTAGAAAAACTATTCGCGCGAATTTCATGAAATCAACTGAGCAGTCATCTTTCAGCACCATATATATAATATAAAAAAATCGCAGCATCAATCCAGCTATAACATTCCGAAATAGCGACTATGACAACTTATGACTTTTAGCCCCGCTCTCCCCTATATATATATATATATATATATATATATATATATATATATATATATATATTATATATATATATATATATATATATATATATATATATATATATATATATATATATATATATATATATATCAACCCTCAGAATTAGGAAAATTGAGGTCGGCAATAATTTGCTAACCCTCAATCTTTTAAAGGTCAGCATCAGTTCGGCAAATACCATAAAACATCGAAATGAGGTCGGCAAAACCGATTTTTTTTCGCGGACCGCAAACACGTTTAGGTCAGCAGTTAGGTCGGCATTGCAGAATGCCGACCTAACTGCTATAATATATATATATATATATATATATATATATATATTATATATATATATATATATATATATATATATATATATATATATATATATATATATATATATATATATATATATATATATATATATATATATCCACATATATGTTTGCCATACTTAAGAGAAAAAGTTCTCATTATGAGTATATTTGAATTTTTTAGCAGCATATCTATCTTTCAACTGATAAAAATTTGCTGACCTAGCAGTTGTGAAAAGTCTTTTTTGCAATAGGTTTTATTGTCATCAATCATGCACAAATTTTCTCAGGTTTAAAAGTTTATATAACTTTTTTGAACAATGAACTGCTTTAATTTCTCCATCAATGAATTGCTTTGGAGTTTTCTTCTTATGATATGTTTTATAAAAGATATAAATAATAAGTTTGATAAAAGATATGCTTTATATTATATATTGAGTTTATTAAAAACTATTAATAAATTCTATCGATAATACTCAAATTAAGTGGTTAGTGGAATGGTGACTAGTGGAATTAAAGTGATTAGGGGACTGGTAACTATAAGAACCAATTAAATATAGATTACTATATTACTTTAGCATCTAATAAAATATAAAAAATAATTATCTTTTTAAATAATTTTTAGGATTAAAAAATATATTACAATATGCAAATCAAAGATGAATGTAAAAAAAAAATTAACATACTTTATTTTTATATTTGATTTTGTTTTTTTCTCAGGTAAATATATACTTATGGTGAAAATATAAATTTTCAAAACTTTTCCAGTTCTCCAACTTAGATCCCCGATCTCCAACCTAGTAATTTTTGTTGTTGGTGTCAATTTCAGTAATTTCAACCTATTACTTGTTTCTTTTTTTATAAGAAATAATATGTAATTTATTATTATGCATATATATACTTTATAAAAATATGTTTATTGGAGAAATAATATGTGTAGACATCATTTCTCCATATTGTGGCAAAATGATGGCATGAAATTATCCATGTTTTATCAAAATTACTGCAAATTTTTAATAAAAAAAGTTAAGCTAGAAAATTAGAAAGCTCAAAATAGTAGAATTGTTTAAAGTAGACCAGGCTTTTAAAAAGTAAACCATCACAGCATTTTACTCATTACATCACAGCATTTTACTCATTAGCAAAGCACTGGATTAACAATGAATTATCAACAGAGTTTTAGCTTTAAAAATTAACAATTCTTGAGAAAATCTAGTTATTATAATTATTACTATAATCTGAACTAAATTATAACATCTAACATTGAAGTTTAAATACAAATAAATTAGATTAAAAAAATAATTTAATATCTTGCTAACAGTATTATATTGATTATGTTTTGATTTCACCAAGTAAATTTGAAGTATTACATAACTTTCAACTTTAATTTAGTTTACTGACTTTTTTACTTTATGAAATTTAGTTTACTGACTTTTTTACTTTATGAAATTTAGTTTACAGACTTTTTACTTTATGTAATTTTACATCTGTAAAATTTTTTTAAATTCAACTTAAAATGCTTTTTTTCCTAAGCATAATTTGTTGTTTGATTTTAACAGTCTCAGAAGGATATTAAGAAACAAAGAAAAGTTGTTTCAATAGGAGTGATATCAGTTGTTAGTGGATTGGCAAAAAGAAATACTTCAGACGGAAAAAGAAAAACAAGGGAAAAGGTATTCAGTTTTTAATTATTTTTTTAAATCTTCTATAAGTTAACTATGCAAACATTTTCCAAAACTATATTAGTATACTAATACATACTATATTAGTGTATAGTAAACAACTTGAAAAATAAAGTACAAGTAGACAAAATAAGTTTGAAACCACTTGCACCAAAATAGCAGTTCTGTTTCCATTAAAAATTGTAAATAATGAAATAAAAAATGAAAAAAGAAATCATTAACTTTAATACATATCTGTAAATCTATACTTTTCTTTTACTATAACTAGATACTTGTAAGAAAATTTTTCTTTTACTTACTTTAACTTGATACTTGTAAGAAAATTTTTCTTTTACTTACTTTAACTTGATACTTGTAAGAAAATTTTTCTTTTACTTACTTTAACTTGGTACTTGTAAGAAAATTTTTCTTTTACTTACTTTAACTTGATACTTGTAAAAAAATTTTTCTTTTACTTACTTTAACTTGATACTTGTAAGAAAATTTTTAATATCTCTCTTAAGTCTAATGTCATACTCTTAGACTATCATTACAGATTTCAATTTTGTTAATCTTCTGCTGATTTGTAAGCCATCATAAACAAAAGATTCTATTGTACATTAAGTGCAAGCATTAAGGCAAGGTCTATTGGTCCAATTATGTAAAAGGCTTCTGTAGGCTAGCTACAAAATTATGGAAAATGTTTGCATAGAAGTCAATGACAACAGTGACAACACCATGCAAGCATTTTCCATAACTACAGGTATCAAATATCAGCATTTAAGTAACTTAAAAAGAAGTAAAAATTTATAGATAGATGTGTATTAAAGTTAATGATTTTTTTAAATTTCTGTTCATTAATTGCAATATTTTATGAAAATGGAAATGCTATATTGTTAACAACTGCTATATTGTTGCTAGTGATTTCAAACTTATTTTGTCTACTTGTACTTTATTTTTCAAGTTGTTTTTTCTATTCTGTTTGATTATTTATACTGCTGACTTTAATCTATTCTAAAAAGTATGTAGTAATTTATAGAGACTTGGAACCCATTCTTCTTTGATAAACAAAACTATTTTGTTAAAATCTATATTATAATTTGTATTCAACTCTTTTGCACAGGTGTTGCTCATAAGGTTGATTGATGTTGATAAACTGTTACTCATGAGATGATTGTGATCATTTTCATGTTTGTGCAAAAGAATAAAGTTGCTTTTTTATAGATAGTTTTATTATGTTTTAGGGTGGAGCTTCTTCAGAGGGTCTTCGTATAAAACGTGGGAAAATGCGAGAAACACCCAAAAAAAAGAAGCCTACTCTTCTTAAAAAAGTAAAAGTTGTTTTGCAATTTTATGTGTTTATGTTTTGTGTTAATCAATATTATTCTATGGAGAATTTGGTTATTACTGAGTTTATATACTGAAGATTTTTTTATATTGGAGGTGATTTTTATAGTAGAAGTTACTTTTGTTGTGGAGATATATGTACATTGTGGAGATATATGTACATTGTGGAGATATATGTACATTGTGGAGATATATGTACATTTTGCTACTCAGTGTAGCTAAGGAAAGATCCTAATGATTTGCATTTCTTAAAAACAAAAATTTATATTTTTAAGCTTCAATTTTTTATGTTTTATTTATTTTTGACTATTACTGTTGTATATTTTTAAAAAGTAGAATTTTAGCTTTTCTTATATAATTTATTATTATTTTATCAATCTTTTTTTAACCAAAGCATCAAGCAAAACAAAACTACCACTAAAATACATAAAATGCGATGAGGTAGCTTAATAAAAACATCTGAAACAAATATGTTTAGTATTTACATTTCAAATTACATTCCAAAAATGTCTCTTTTATTCACAAGTAAAATATCTTCTTGTTTACAGCATTAAAATATTCAATAAGTAACTAAAAACCTCTTATTTTATCTTTCCATAAACAATAAAAACGTTAAAATCAAAGTTTTCACATTAGTTTTCACTCAGCAATTAACTTTCATAATTTTTTTATAGTCGTTTGAATAAATTACTAAACAGAATTGTTTCAGCTTATATATATTTTTTTATATTTTCTGCCCTATAGTATTAAGCAAAAACCTGAAACTTGTAGATAATAAAACAATGAGCTCAGTGATTTTTTAAAATAAAACAACAAGCTTAATGATTTAAAATAAAAAATAAACCAATCAAAATGCACACAAAATAAAAGGGCATTTTTTGAAAACAAAAGGGATTTCTCCTTAATTATGCTGAGTATGCCTCTCTATATATATTATCAATAGTTTTATTAAAATCAATATTAGTATGACCGCCTATACTAAACTTAATTTTACAATGGACTAAATATGCCCACTTTCTTCCATTAATTGCCTTCTATACACCTAGACATCTGTCCAACATCTAATTAACACGCTTCAATATAATCACTAATTTTTTATTTTTTTATGAGGCTATTACGGCTAAATGTGTTCTACCATAGTGGCTAGACTTATCTCCTCTAGTTTAAAACTTATAAAAAATGTCAAAATGCAGTTTTTTAAAGCATATTTCCAAAATTAAAATTTTTAGGAAAAATAAGTAGGATTAAATAGGAGAAGAAAAGAAGATAGGATTACAAATAAGATAAAAAAAAAGTAGGAGATAAAAAATAAGAAAAGTAGATGATAAAAGATTGAAATAAAAGAAAGAACTTACACATACAATATTAACATCAATTATTTATAACAAATTATACAAGAATGAAGAAAATATGCAAAATTTTGATTGATTTTGTTTCAATCTAAAAATATGTGTTCATCTAAAATTACCAATTGCAAATAAAATGCAATGTTTTAATAATTATATAAATAAAATATAGTTGCATTTAAGAATGGATTAAATGTTAGATTAAGAAGCAATAACATACACATATTAAGTTTTATCTTAATCAAAATTAAAAAATAATAACATATTATGTTAGTTTTTTAAAATCAGGGACAAATTTAAGTTCATGAAATTTTGAACTAAAATTTGACCCTGAAAAAAATAATACAAAAAAATCGATATAGAACTAGAAATTTGGTTCAACCCCCCATATAACAATAATGTTTCCACTATCATAGCAAAAGTGTTTTTTAAATTGGTCGATAAGCATTTCCAATGAGAGGACCAATGAGAGACAGTTAAAAAAAGAAAAATAGCTTTTAACGCAAAAAAACTTTAAGCAAAATAAATACGATTAGAGCAAAAATTTTTGAAACGTCGCTCTTTTATAATTTTTTTATAAAATTAAGTGACATTTTTTATATAAAGTAACAACTTACTAATAATGATTGTTTAATAAGGAAACAAATGTTCTTCGATTTATCAAAGAGTATATATAATTTTTATTTATATACTTAAGTCTTATTTGTAGTGCTGGATTGAGGAGGTGGGTGGGTGGTGGTTAGAAGAGCTATAGCCCCAGGACTCATAATGTTAGGGGCTGCGAAATAGTCAAGAGAACCATTCGGTATTTTTTTAGTCATTTTTATGCTGTGGCATAAAAAATGCCACAAAAATAATGCAGCCCCTGGCCCTGAAAAGTCCAACAAGGTTCAACCAATAAAACTAATCCTAGTTGATTTATTTATGAATAAAAAAGTTTTTTCAATAACTATTTTAGGCTTTGCGTAGTTTGAAAAGTTTAACACATTTGAAACAATTCTTCTTAGTAAGATAAATAAATGAAATAATTAAATCATTCAGTTACTGTAGCAATTCAATTAGGTAGATAAAAATTAACTAAAGGAACTAACTGGAGGAAGCGGAACTGCTTCACAATACCGCTGATAATGTTTAGTAAGTGGGCTTTATATTTTTAATTAGTATTTAAAACAAAAAAAAGTAACTTTAAGTTTAAGTATAACGAGTTTGTGAGAAAGGCTGAAGCAAAAATAATTGAAGTTAGTAAACCAATTTATAAGAACTTAAAAACTTTTTTTTCTTGGGGGAAAGAATCAGTTATAGGGTACATTGAGGAAAATGGATTAGTGGTTAAAATTATTTGTATTAACTTTGATGATTATTAATAATTTCATTGAAAACGCAGTTATTATTGAAAGTATTTTTGTTTACAAAATCAATTGCACAAATTGATTTAAAAGATTACATTTGAATAAAATACACATACATAAAATTACATACATAATAAATACATACATAAAAATACATTACGTCAGAGATGTAGGTCTAAATATCTTGGTCTTAGTCTTGGTCTTGGTCTTTACTGTCTTGACTACATCTCTGCATTACATACATAAAAAATAAGAATATACTAATAAAATCTATAATATATTTACAAAATGTTGGCAAGTTAAAAAAATATAAATTTAAAACATTTATTTTTGTTAGAAAATAATGTTAGTTTAAAACATTTATAGCTTTGTAGATGTGGCTCCGAAAATGAGCCATAGTATTAAAATAAAAGTTCGTTTGATAGTATATTCTTAAAACAATTTATGCTACAAATCTCAACGAAATCATAACAAAATTCAAATAATACAATTTTTAAAAATATTTCAACACAATACTCTAGAGTTAGGTTAGTATTTTTTGAACCAATAGAATTAGTTGTTTGTAGATTTGGCGGGTTTATTGTGTTCACAAATATTTTTTTTTTATTTTTCTGCACAATGATGTTTAAGAACATTCGTGTTTATCTATGTTTCCATGTATGTCTGTAAAATAAAATATTTTAAAATTTACGATACGTACGATATTATGATAAATAATGAACTTAATTATTATTTTGCAGACAAACAAGGAAACATACATAAACTTATATATATATATTAGCTGACTGGACCCATAAAAATATGGGTCTTTTTAAGTCTATTCCACACTAACTTTTTCTATACTTTTTCCTTATATAAAACCAAGTTTTCCGGACATGTAAAATATTGGTCTTTACCAAACCAACCATTTCTATTCATAAAAAATAACATCCACACTTTTTCTGTGTATGTAGAGAGATTTTATAATTAGGTTTATCCTAAGGGATTGTTCTCCATTTATTACAAAACGCTAATTTTATTAGCAATTCTGATAAATAAAACAAAAAAGAGCATAAGTTTTCTATTGCAGAGCCTGAAATTGAATTAAAAATAAAAATAGCTTGTTGAATTTAATGAAAATCACCGCATAAAAGAGGTTGAGATATCCTACTTCTTTTTTTAAAATAAATTTAGCATTGCATAATTTATGGACAATCCCTAAACAAATATTGTTCCAGGAGGTTCAAGACCTCCCTTTATCGTAATCAATTTTAAAATTTTAAAATTCTTACCTATATATTTATAGCATGTATTAGCTGTCAGAATTTGTTATTTTACAGGTCACTGTTCCCCACCGACTTCATCTAAACTTTTTAATGTTATTTACAATTACAATATATACAAAATAAAAAAACGAAATTTAGAAAGGTATATTTAAAAACATTTAAATACATAAGTAAATTATTAAACTGCAAAAATACTAATTGTAAATGTGCCTATTTTGCCTTCTAAAGGACCCACTCCTTCAAAAAAGAAGGGTCTATCTTTATTGCCATTTTAGGTCCTTCATTTGTTCTACCATATGCTAAAAAAGCGTCATAAGATAAATCTAAAGTTCAGGTTTCTCCTTATCTGTTGACTCATGAATATGTATATATTATATACCAATTCAATGCAACAAATTAGCTCAGCAGCCAACAGCAATCGCTTACCAATCATCTGCATCACTAACATGCATTCTCTCTGTAACAAAACTGAGATCTTCAATCAGTTGTCACCAATATTGATGTTGCCTGCCTAACCGAAACGTGGCTAATCCTAAGTCAATAGTAATTACACTTACGAAGGCACTGAATGTCAGGATTGCATAGGTGGTGTTACTATTGTATTTATAAACAGAAAATATTAGGTTAAAACAGAACAAATAAAACCGACAACCGACTTCCTGTCTAATTTAATACCTGAACAAGAAATCGAACTAACTATCGCTCGAGTGTACCCAAAATACCTGCCCAGAAGACACTTCTGTCTAAAAATATGCACATATATTGTGGTTTGGTCTAAAAAACTCATTTAACCAGGAATAATTCACTGCACAATCGGCCACAAACCACTTATTATTCTTGCAGGAGATCTAAATGGTTGCCCTACTGAATTTATTTACCTTTCTCAACAACTCATTTACCTTAATTCACAACTTACTCGGCAATCAGCGATTCTTGACATCATCTTAAGTAATGCTCCAAAATGCTAAGTATCCAATACCCTTTTCAGCTTTAGAAATTCAGACCACCTTGTTGCAGTTAGTCA